GCGCGATGCAACGCAATGCGTAAAAAGACAGTATAAGCTATTATAATCTGTAATTATGTCCCCACTGGATGCAACAAATGCCTCGTTTATAATGGGTTTTAATGTTTTTGTCTCGTCGCTCCGGCCGGACAGGGCATCATCACAGTATGGTGAGGGGCGTAACATTTCCAGATGTAGATGAGATTGTTTCTTCATCAGAACAGATTTGCAGAAAGCAATATTATGCATAGAGGACTCATATTTTAGCTGGATGCAATGGCATGATGTTAAAAACATCTTGATGATGGATTTGTTTCAGCTTTTGTCTTCTCCAGATGTTAACTGATGGACTGGAGTGGTGTGGGTTACTTGTGGATTATTGTGATGTTTTTATCAGCTGTTTGGACTCTCATTCTGACGGCACCCATTCACTGCAGAGCATCCATTGCTGGGACACTGATGCAATGCTACATTTCTACAAACCTGATGAAGAAACAAACTCATTCTGATCTTGAATGGCCTGAGGGTGAGTAAATGTTAAGCAAATATTCATATTGGGGTGAACTATTGTTTTAAGCTGCTAAAGATTGAAGAGTCATACAGCAGTGCTTCTTACGAGATGATGCAGTGAGCGGCTGTCATCACCCACTGGCTGTGGATCAGGGTTCCTCCACAGATGTGTCTGCTGTTGTAATGGACACTGACCTGCCAGGGCCAGTTACCCGCAGGGGCATCAGTGCCGCCCACTACACGCGTATTTAGAGGAGCTACTCCACAGTCTGCAGCCACTAAATTATGTGCACAATATACACAATATATTCTATCGGTCAAAAGTTTGGAATAAGATATTTCAATGTTTTTGAAAGAAGTCTCTTATACTCACCTAAAGTGCATTTATTTTTAACTAAAATTCCGTAAAATAACAGTAATATTGTGAAAAAAATATTTTAAGTATAATTTAAAATAGCGGTTTTCTATGTGAATATCTGTTAAACTGTAATTTATTTCTGTGATCAAAGCTGAATTTTCAGCATCATTACTCAGTATTCAGTGTCACATGAGCCTTCAGAAATTATTTTAATATGCTTATATTAGTTGCGCTGCCCAATAATTTTGTGCAAACCCTAAGAAAAGGCTTCTTTCAAAAACATGAAAAAATCTTAACAATTCCAAACTTTTGCCCGGTGGTGTAGGTGCTGCTCTTATTGTTTGCCGTCTGTGCATTTGAGCCTGCAGAGTGAACAATTTCAAACTTTTAAAGAACTTGCCTAATCCGGACTTCACCTGAAAGGTGTAAATACATATGCTAATAATAACCTATGCAGTTTTACTTTTATGTAAATGCACCTTGTTTTAAGGAAGTTTTGATATTCTTACTGGAAAATAAAAACAAATAGTGATTAAGGTAATTATTGATTCAGTGTAGTGAATGCATTAGAAACACAGAGTTTCTACACATTTAAAAAATTAGACCTTTTTTTAACAAAATATAGTTGAGACACAATTCACATTTGACTCTGCAAACACACATACTTAAATACTCATAATCAAACTCACCTTCCATACTTAACATCATGGTTGTAAAGCTGAGCAGGATCATTGACAACTCCATGGCTGAAGTGAAAGACTGGGAAAGAGAGCTGTCTTATGTCTTCTCTCTCTTTAAATCGCCTGTTTGACGTGTCTTCTTGGTCTGACACAAGTAGGCCAATTGTTCATGTAATAAAACAGGTTAGACGTGTCTCATTCTTTCCTATAAATGAAAGTATGCATGATGACGGTGATGCCAGTATAGCTAAAACACGACCTATATCCTTTATTTTATAAATGAATCCAATTAATATTTTTTTACATTTTTGTTTAGACCTTTTAGACCAATTATTATAGACCTTATAGACTTTTTTTTTTGCATTGCTTTTAATATTAGGAAAAGATCCATCAACATTGTCCTTTTGTAAAAATCCTTTATTTCATTAAAAACAAACAAACAAACTTTTTACTGACAGTGGCTACGTTTACATGCACCCAAATAATCAGTTTGTAATGGGATTGATGGCTCAGTCACACTGAAAAACCTTCATGTAAACACATTAATCGATCCGATTGAGCTCGGATTGAAGGGGTGGTTTATTCCTTTTCTAATACGATTGAGAGTGCATGTAAACACTCGATCGGATTGAACCCCGAAACTGAAAGAACTGCGCATGTGCAATGACGCAGAAATAGCGTAATGAGGTATGACGCGCAGAACGAGAGGTTCTTCCTTTTGAGTAAAGTGTTGTATAACGGCGTGCCCTGTCATTATAAAACTCTCCATTCACTCACAACTGTGAAGTGGAGCAGGACAACCTCCCACCAGTCCTTGTTTTGGATTCTCATCCACAGGCAACCCGTTTTGGGCGCTGGGAGGGGAATTTTTACTGTGTGATAAATATGAGCAGCACAGCATAGCGGTTTATATGTATATTTATGCATAAATTAATAAATATTAATTCTGCTGTTAAAAACAAATAAATAAACCATGTAGGAGAGTGGTTATTATGTGCAAACAGTGAGAAACTCTATTTTTGTGCAGTGTGCGCATATAAAAAAAAATCCATTCTGATTTGAAGCTTGTGACATATAAACATGCACATCAACCCGTCTTTAGCGTTCATGTAAACACTACATTCAGATTCATCAATCCGAATGAATTCAGTCCGATTGAACCAAAAATCGTGCATGTAAACATAGCCATTGTTGCCACCTTGGCAACCAAGTACATTCACTTTACTTATTTATTTACAAAATAAAAACAGAAAGTTTAATTAGAGGCAAAATTGTTGGTTGTGATGGAAATAAAGCTACAACTGAGATAATTTTTTGCAAATAATACTCCTAACAAATATTGAACTGTTTCATATTTCTTTCATTCTTGGTTTAGATTATAATAGGTTTTAAAATGTAATAATTAAAAATCATTCCCTGGGACACAGTGCCCATTTTTATGAGTTATAAGCTGTTATGAGACTTTTTTGTTAGCAATATTTGAACTGGGTTTATGCACACAGCGTCAATGCAATGCGTAATTTTGGACAACTCTGCATCGCCAGAACTCTGGATCATTGTTTCTACACTGGTGATTCTTTTAACCAAGTTTATTTTTATTTATACCAAACAAGGCCATAATAATGTCTACTCTAGAACATAAGGGGGACCAATTGTTTTGAGGAAAATAAAGACCAGACCTCTATAGTACTGGCAGGGGCAGACTTAACCAATAAGCGAGGTAAGAGGCTGCTTAGGGCCCCGGGGAATCAGAGGGCCCCATCTGATATTGCAGAAACATATTTGCAGCGTTGAACAATAGCCAATCACAGACATGTTAATTTCTTGAACGCAATGACCAGAAGTGCTTAAGTTATAATCCACTCACCGCTCAAAATGCAGAGTTTGCTGAGTTCTGCAAGCTCGCGAATCCTCTCATTATAACAAAGTGTAGATACGATGTAAACAAGAGATTCATTGTGCCGTGTAGAGAGACTATTAACGGAACGTCGTGAGATCGCGATGAACTGAAGTGAGTTACAGCTTTTAGTAGTCCGCTCGCTGTTATGTGTCACTCCGCCGCCGGAGGGCAGCAGTAGTCCGGTCGCTGTTATGTGTCACTCCGCCCCCGGAGGGCAGCAGTAGTCCGGTCGCTGTTATGTGTCACTCCGCCCCCGGAGGGCAGCAGTAGTCCGGTCGCTGTTATGTGTCACTCCGCCCCCGGAGGGCAGCAGTAGTCCGGTCGCTGTTATGTGTCACTCCGCCCCCGGAGGGCAGCAGTAGTCCGGTCGCTGTTATGTGTCACTCCGCCCCCGGAGGGCAGCAGTAGTCCGGTCGCTGTTATGTGTCACTCCGCCCCCGGAGGGCAGCAGTAGTCCGGTCGCTGTTATGTGTCACTCCGCCCCCGGAGGGCAGCAGTAGTCCGGTCGCTGTTATGTGTCACTCCGCCCCCGGAGGGCAGCAGTAGTCCGGTCGCTGTTATGTGTCACTCCGCCCCCGGAGGGCAGCAGTAGTCCGGTCGCTGTTATGTGTCACTCCGCCCCCGGAGGGCAGCAGTAGTCCGGTCGCTGTTATGTGTCACTCCGCCCCCGGAGGGCAGCAGTAGTCCGGTCGCTGTTATGTGTCACTCCGCCCCCGGAGGGCAGCAGTAGTCCGGTCGCTGTTATGTGTCACTCCGCCCCCGGAGGGCAGCAGTAGTCCGGTCGCTGTTATGTGTCACTCCGCCCCCGGAGGGCAGCAGTAGTCCGGTCGCTGTTATGTGTCACTCCGCCCCCGGAGGGCAGCAGTAGTCCGGTCGCTGTTATGTGTCACTCCGCCCCCGGAGGGCAGCAGTAGTCCGGTCGCTGTTATGTGTCACTCCGCCCCCGGAGGGCAGCAGTAGTCCGGTCGCTGTTATGTGTCACTCCGCCCCCGGAGGGCAGCAGTAGTCCGGTCGCTGTTATGTGTCACTCCGCCCCCGGAGGGCAGCAGTAGTCCGGTCGCTGTTATGTGTCACTCCGCCCCCGGAGGGCAGCAGTAGTCCGGTCGCTGTTATGTGTCACTCCGCCCCCGGAGGGCAGCAGTAGTCCGGTCGCTGTTATGTGTCACTCCGCCCCCGGAGGGCAGCAGTAGTCCGGTCGCTGTTATGTGTCACTCCGCCCCCGGAGGGCAGCAGTAGTCCGGTCGCTGTTATGTGTCACTCCGCCCCCGGAGGGCAGCAGTAGTCCGGTCGCTGTTATGTGTCACTCCGCCCCCGGAGGGCAGCAGTAGTCCGGTCGCTGTTATGTGTCACTCCGCCCCCGGAGGGCAGCAGTAGTCCGGTCGCTGTTATGTGTCACTCCGCCCCCGGAGGGCAGCAGTAGTCCGGTCGCTGTTATGTGTCACTCCGCCCCCGGAGGGCAGCAGTAGTCCGGTCGCTGTTATGTGTCACTCCGCCCCCGGAGGGCAGCAGTAGTCCGCTCGCTGTTATGTGTCACTCCGCCGCCGGAGGGCTGTAATGCGCCGCTGCGCCGCTAGGGGCGGTGGAGGGTCTGTCTTTCCGAGAGCGGTGGAGGCTGTGGGAGAAAAGAGCGACGAACCGGGTGGAAGCCCTAAAAACGAACTGAGGTTATACTCTTTAGATTGCTCTGTTTGCTACACGGCTGTCTGGAGTAATTAAAGGTACGTTTCGCTCGTGTATTTCTTGAGCTGTGCTGTGTCTTTGAGCAGTTGAGCGCGTTGTTTAAGGCCTTTAGCTGCTAAGGCTAACGCTAGCGCTGCTAAATCCCGGATCGACTCGCCTGAGGCTGGAAGTACTTCAGGACTCTTCACATCGCGGCGATTAATAACTCTGTCTGTTAGTGTTGTTTGTCTGGAGTTGGTTAATTAATCTGTGAGTTCTCAGGAAACTTGTGCCAGTCTTAAGTTCACCGTCAACTTAAGCGAAACGAGCCGAGTAGTTTTTACATTTAATGTAAGGTAGACCCTTCTAAAATGATCCATTTGACAACGTTTTGTATCAGGGAGACGTTTAAAAGCATGGTTTTAAGCTGTTATTGCGATAAGAGCTGTCGTAATGCTCGGCTAATGTCGACACAAGATTGAACTGTCATCAGAACTTGATTTAAATATGTCCGGGCTTCATTTTAAGCTTTTGCACTTTTATTAAATGTGTCGTTTGACTGAAATCAGGAGTTATTGAACTTGACGAAGCGCTACACGGTCAGAGTACCTCATCCGCCTGTTTAATGTGCAAACACAGCATGACGGTGTCAATCATAAATCATAAAATATTCTTATGATTTAACTGGTTTCAGAAAGCCTTTGTCTCGAAAGAAAACGGCTAACCTCATTAAAAGGACTGTCTAAAATATGCACGCTGCCTGCTGCATGACGTCATGGCGTGACGTCATTTGCGTTGCCTCACGGTGTACTCGTCAACAGTGTCGCTTATCGGGCTTTAATTAAAAGCATCGTTCCCCCACACAGTCATATGATCTGGCAGAGATCTGCTGTACAAGAATAAATCAATTTATTTTGATAATTGGGCTAAAAATAATATTATTTTGGTGAGTCAGTTATTCAATGATCAAGCGATTCCTTTAAAAGGAGTTTTTGTCACATTATAAAATCCCAATTACAGCAAAAGAATAGGCTATTGTTTCTGGAGCTATCCCTTCTGGGGTTATTCTGTTTATGAAGGGTTGTAATAACAAGGTCTCAGGGATCTCAGTGTGTTGGATGCATATGCTGGTAATGAGCTCTTAGCTCTGAATCAGACACTAGGAGCATGAGCTGTGTTCCAGGACCAGGTGGCTCTTCACCGAATGCCAGCTTTTATTGGAGCACACACACGTGTAGGGGATTTAACTGGGCTAGAGGGGGGTTTGCCTCAAATTATGTTTGTACAAGAAGATAAAAGAAGTGTCTTATACAATGATACATCGGTGCTATCCCACAACATGTTTTACAAAGGTTTATTTCTGAGGATTTTGATGTAAATTGCTCCTCTGTGGTCTCCAAACTGAAGATTTGTCTCATTTATTTTGGTATTGCGAGTATACTAAGAATCTGTGGAAAAACATTGAGTATTTTTTGTGGGATAATTCCTGAAATTGAACTGAAATATGAAAATGTTATTCTGGGTCATACACATTTTGAAAGAGAACAATCAGATATTTTTTATTTACTCAATCTTATTTTGTTCCTCGCCAAATATTTTGTACAGAAATGTAAGTATTGTAAGTGTACGCCTTTCTTTAACCGTTTTCTGGAAGAGTTAAACTTTTACAAAGGTTTATTTCTGAGGATTTTGATGTAAATTGCTCCTCTGTGGTCTCCAAACTGAAGATTTGTCTCATTTATTTTGGTATTGCGAGTATACTAAGAATCTGTGGAAAAACATTGAGTATTTTTTGTGGGATAATTCCTGAAATTGAACTGAAATATGAAAATGTTATTCTGGGTCATACACATTTTGAAAGAGAACAATCAGATGTTTTTTATTTACTCAATCTTATTTTGTTCCTCGCCAAATATTTTGTACAGAAATGTAAGTATTGTAAGTGTACGCCTTTCTTTAACCGTTTTCTGGAAGAGTTAAACTGTGTCTGTATTTGATCTCTGACTCTTCCAATAAGAAAGCTGTAAAAACTGTGAATCTTTTTAAAAGGTACATTATTTTCTTGCTCGCTGGCATGTAGTATATTAATGTCATTCTGTGTTTCATATGTTATAATAATATTAATAATAAAAATAAATAAAAAATCAGTGTGTAAATCCTGTGTCACTACCGTCGCCACATATCAGACAGGTTTAGACACGCCCCCATCTATCATTGGTCGCGCAAACACGTTAGTCCCGCCCTCAGCGCACGCGATTGGTTGAAGCAATAGAACACAACAGCCGGTTTATAACATTGATCTTTATAAATCATATTTATATAAATTTATAAGACAAGTTTCTGATGTGATCAGTGGTTTTTGAAAGTAAGAATCCTATTTATTTTTCTCCACAAGTGTTGATTTTTTAACAATAATTTCTAAACCTTTAAAAACCAACCTGCTTTGAGCTACAAGGTTAATACACTGATGCATATGGTTTTGTTGAAGCGGTCAGTCCATATCATTTCGGCTGAATTTTTTAATAATCGTGTTTAACAGCAGAATTGTAAAAACTACATTACTCGTGATTCTGCAAAGGATTCTCCGTCAGTCAGTGAATGAATAAATAACTCTTTAGCGCCCACTCACTATCAAGAAGAGCTCTCAAACTACTTAAATTCATATATTTTTTTTTATTTATGCAATAAATGTGTAATACATTGTTTCTATGTATATACAACGTCTGTAAGTCAATTTTATATTTACTTATTTATATTCCATCGTTTGTCTCATTAAAGCAGTTGTCTTGTAACTTTGTCTTTTTGTCTGATTTTGAAATACTTTATTGCTTCAAATAAAAGAAGTTCATGATGTTGTGATTCACATTGAAGCTGGATGGATTTTTTAAAAATCCCTGGCCTGTGGGAATAAAATACTTCTGGAAAGTGGGCAGCAACTGTTAAGGCACTTTATGACGCTGTTTTTTTCATCTTTGCATATTAAACTGGAATAAGAGAAGTAGATAGTATAGTAAATGTTGACTATTTGAAAATGTGTCTTCCTTCTTCTTTGGCTCACACAGGTTTCCTCCCCTCCGCGTCTCGTGATCTGTGTGTGTGTGTGTGTGTGTGTGTGTGTGTGTGTGTGTGTGTGTGTGTGTGTGTGTGTGTGTTTGTGTGTGGGGCACACAGCAGCGACCCGTCATGGGGGACATGAGTGATCTGGACAGACAGATCGATCAGCTCAGGAGGTGTGAGCTCATCAAGGAGAACGAGGTCAAAGCCCTGTGTGCCAAAGCCAGGTGATCACAGAAGACCGGTCCGCAGCTCGGAAAGGCATTTCTGTGTTGATCATGTGCTCATACGACTGTGTGTGTCTTCCAGAGAGATTCTTGTAGAAGAGAGTAACGTACAGAGGGTGGACTCTCCGGTCACAGTGAGTATTCACAAACAGCGCGCAAGACAGAAAAGAAGAGATGTTGGAACCCAAACCGTTTTGGTGACCATTGACTTCCAAAACAATTTTTGAGATATTTTCTCAAATATCATCTTCAAGATTATAATAAACTATTTGTATTTTCTGTTATTATTTGATTGTGTATGGGTCGTTAATAGCGTGTCTTCTTCAGGTGTGTGGTGACATCCATGGGCAGTTTTATGACTTGAAGGAGTTGTTTCGGGTGAGTCTGAGGTCTTTCACATGAAAAGCAGGGCTGGACAGTAAGGACTGCTGCGCCATCACGAAGGATTATCGTTTGCACATGTTTTTAAGCCTTGATTAATTAAACATTAAAGCGATCTGAAAGTGTTCAAGTAAGAAGCAAAGCTCAGGGGCTGCTGATAAGTATTTCACTGAGCTAAAGTCAAGACCATTCTGTTGCTTCTTGCTCCAAATTTAGAAATTCTACAATCCAATTTAAATCAAACATTGCATCATTTCATTTGTATCTTTGTTCTATATATTCAATTATGCTATTGCTTGAAATTTGTTCTTATTTACTGACTGTTCACTTGTCTTTAATAATGTTTGAACTTTATATTTATTAGTCTAGTAGCTAGAAGTAATTTTGGTGTCACATAAGCTTATTAGAATACAAGATAAAATGGGTCAGAAACAATGATAACAAGCTATTTTATTGTTTAGTGGCAGTGAAAATCTGAACCAGTCTCCTGACCGGGCCAGTAGAGAGAAATCCTGAAAACTAAATGCAGAATGATAAAGTAATGTATAGAAAATAATAATAATAAGAGTTTTCTTATCCAATGGGCATTACTTTACACGTCAAGTCAAACGTATTGATATTGCTTATTTCACAATACGCATTGCCTCAAAGCAGCTTTACCGAAAATCATGATTATAATATTTATAAAGTAAAAATATCTTGGTGCTTTATAGTCATATTTAGCTAATTAGAGCTGGTGGAAAAAGTTGTTTACACATACGTGCAATAATATAGTTGACATTTTGCGGTAATGTGCATCACTTTATCAAAGTGTACTGTATTTGTGTGGATAAAGTTGGATTTACTACAGATCTTTTAAAAGTTTTTCCTTGAAAAATATTAGAATTTTTATCAGAAATATTTTGTATATTTGTTATTCATTTTTATTTTGTTTGTAAAAAAAATGTTTGTTAAATTTCGTTCAATTCACTTAAGTATTGTAATTAATTTGATAAATATAATTTTTATTTTTATCGAGTTTGCCATGAATATGGCCTTTAAATGCTGGTATGACATAAAATAAAAATATTCACATGCTAGAGTTATTGGACAGTAATCTAACGGGAATATACTGGTTAATAAATCAGTATTTGATCATCTGTTGTCCTTCAGGTGGGAGGCGATGTTCCAGAAACAAACTACCTCTTCATGGGAGATTTTGTGGACCGAGGCTTTTACAGCGTCGAGACCTTTCTGTTACTTCTTGCGCTGAAGGTGCTGTCATTATGTTGTTCAGGACATTTGGAACGAGATGTTATTGTTGTAATCGTAATAGCTGTACATACACTACCAGTCAAAAGTTTGGAATAATTTTTATTGTTTATTTATTAAATTTTTTTGTTGTTGTTTAATGTTTTTGGAAACGTATCTAAGTTATCTTACAAAGTATTTTCTCCAATACTGTAAAATAGTTTATAAGAAAAATCAGTATTTGATCATCTGTTGTCCTTCAGGTGGGAGGCGATGTTCCAGAAACAAACTACCTCTTCATGGGAGATTTTGTGGACCGAGGCTTTTACAGCGTCGAAACCTTTCTGTTACTTCTTGCGCTGAAGGTGCTGTCATTATGTTGTTCAGGACATTTGGAACGAGATGTTATTGTTGTTATCGTAATAGCTGTACATACACTACCAGTCAAAAGTTTGGAATAATTTTTATTGTTTATTTATTAAATTTTTTTGTTGTTGTTTAATGTTTTTGGAAAAGTATCTAAGTTATCTTACAAAGTATTTTCTCCAATACTGTAAAATAGTTTATAAGAACTGTTTTCTGTGTGAATATGTGTTAAACTGTAATGTATTTCTGTGATGCGCAGCTGTATTTTCAGCATCATTCCTCCAGTCTTCAGTGTCACATGATCTTCAGAAATCAGTATAATATGCTGATTTGCTGCTTGTTTATAACTAATAATGGCTGTTGTTATTATCCATGTTTAAACAGTTTTTACTGCTTAATATTTTTGTGGAAACTCTGATCATTTTTTTTCAAGAGTCTGATGAATTTGAATTTGTAACTATATGAACTTTACTGTGACTTGATTTCAGCATCATTTAGGGGGGCGTGGCAGAGTCTTAACTTTGATAAAGAATATCTCTTTGGTTTTGAGACTTTAGTCTTTGCAACTTCAGGGATCTTATCTATGCACAATCAGCTTGTAACACTCCGAAGAGAAAGCAAAACTTGAAATTGCATCATATGACCCCTTTAATAAGAGATGCAATCGATTAAAGGGATAGTTCACCCAAAAATTCTGTCATTAATTACTTGCCTTCATGTCGTTCCAAACCCGTAAGACCTTCGTTCATCTTCAGACACAAATTAAGATATTTTTGATGAAATCTGAGAGCTCTCTGACCCTCCCATAGACAGCAATGCAATTACCACAATCAAGGTCCAGAAACGTAGCAAGGAGATCGTTAAAATAATCCATGTGACATCAGTGGTTCAACTGTAATTTTATGAAGCTACGAGAATACTTTTTGTATGCAAAGAAAACAAAAATAACGACTTTATTCAACAATAACCGTGTGGTGCGGCTGACACAGAACAGCATGCAAAAGCATGGTCACGATGTAACATTTGCCTGCTAACCCATTATTTCTCTTATAAATAAAGCTTTGTACCTCACTTGTGTCATACTCACATAAACATGTGTTTTTCTTTAGCTCCGCCGCAGTCTCTGACAGCGGCTCAGAAACACGTGCTGCAGTTAAAGGGTTAGTTCACCCAAAAATGAAAATTAGCCCACAAATTACTCACCCTCAAGGCATCCTAGCTGTATATTACTTTTTTCTTTCAGACGAATCCAGTCGGAGTTATATTAAAAATGGTCTTTGATCTTTCAAGCTGTTTAATGGCACTCAGCGGGTGTTGCATGCATCCGTCCAAAAGAAGTTAAATAATGTGCATCCATCCATAGGAAAAAACGTCTCGCATGGCTCCGGGGGGTGAACAATGGCCTTTTGTTAAGAGGAGCAAAGGAAGCAAAGTTTCCTTACTTTAGCAAAGGAAAACCAGTCTCCTCTTGGCTTATATCCAAATCCTCCCACATTCTTCTTTACAAATCCTCGTTTTGTGCTTCTAATAAGTGACCATTGTTTTGTTTTGATCTCTCCGCTGTGCTTCTGCGTTCGTCACTTCTGAGCGGAGCATGCGCAGCGCTGAACTCATACGTCATCCGCCCGGAGCTGCTTCCGTGTAGGACTGTGAGCGCAAGCTACAATAAAGTGATTATTACATTTTGAATATGGATATTTTTCTTACAAATACACATCGATTCGCTTTTTATTATGGATGGATGCACATTATTTAACTTCTTTTGGACTGAAGCATGCAACACCCGCTGAGTGGCATTAAACAACTTGAAAGACAACTCCGACTGGATTCGTCTGAAAGAAGAAAGTCATATACACCTAGGATGCCTTGAGGGAGAGTAATTCATGGGCTAATTTAAATTTTTGGGTGACCTACCCTTTAAGTTTGGGATCATTTTATTTTGAATGCCAGTGATGTCAATTGCAAACATTGCGATTGTGTTTTAAAATACAACAGCATTCAGCGGTCTCCATGATGGGATATGAAACTGAGTGACACTGCAGTAGACGCATTTTGCAGCATTGAGGTTAACGATTAATGGAATAATTGATCGTTAATTTAAACGAGGATCGATCATGTAAAGGGTTGAGCCTTGCCATCTCTGCTGCAGACACCACTGGATGGGGCGTGAGCCCGCGGGGAGCCGGATATCTGTTCGGAAGCGACGTCGTGGCCCAGTTCAACGCTGCTAACGACATCGACATGATCTGCAGAGCGCATCAGCTCGTTATGGAGGGGTACAAGTGGCACTTCAACGAGACGGTTCTCACTGTGTGGTCCGCTCCCAACTACTGCTACAGGTGTCCCCACAATCCCCTGCAGCATGACCCAAATACATATCATAGTAAATCTTATTGGAATCAGTCTCGTTTTAGTATCCTCGCTTTATTATTATAGTTTTCTTTTTTTTTTTTTACTAAATTAGTTGTTTTCAGTCTTTATTTTTATTCTAACGTTTTAGTGGGTTATTTCACATTATTTGGTAATGTCTAATTTTTAATTCAGAAAAGTTAGTTATTGTAGTTCATCGAGTAGGGATGCACCAAAATGAAAATTGAGCCGGAGGCTGAATACGAACACTGTTTTTTGTGTGTTTTTCCACATGTAGTTTGCCAATTTCTTTCCACCATTGCATAAATTAGCCAAAATGTGCTTTTTACCGTTTTGTCTTGCTTTCCAAAGAAAAAAGAAATTACAAAACATATATTTAAAAATATTTACTTCACACTAAACATCTGTTAACATTCTAGCAGATATTATAACAAAGCACAGATTAACTTAAAATGAATACTGTACAAATAAAAGCAGATCAGAAGAGACTTCTTTTAAAACATTAGAAAATATTACAGCTCCCAATTTGAACACTACATGTGAATGTTATAATAAATGTTGTACTTATTATAATCTTCAATTTACAGAACAACAGTAAAATCACAATACTAACATTTATGAATGTTGGGGTTCTAGCTTTATAAAGCGCGCGCCTCACTCTGCGCTGGTTTCTGTTCGATCGCATCACGTCATCGTTCACTTATTCAGCCGAACACCGAAATAGCTTCTTTTGTTTGTTTGTTTGTTTGTTTGTTTTTGCTGTTTTCGGACGAATAATTTCGCTTGCCGAACATTTGGTGCATCCCTAACTTCAAGTGAACTAAATAAAAATAAGAAGTGTTGGCTTGGAAACTAGCTGGAATTAATTATTTGAAAAAAATTTTTAAAGATGTATATTAATTTTTTTTTCCAGTTACCAATTATTGCAGTGAATTGAAATGAATTGAAAGCCATTATAATCATTGTATTTTTCTGTATACAACTAAAGTATTTAAAGTAAGGAAGATAATTTTTTATGGTTTTAAGTTTAATCAACTATAATAACCCTGATTAGAGTTGTGGTTTTGTGTTACTCAGGGCTGCGGACTGAGACTAATATAGTAACAATAGATAACCAACAATCCTTTAAATCTAGTCTGGAAACGTTGTGTTTTTGTCGATTACGTCTTGATGGTGAATGTGAGAGTTTCCTGCTCAGCCGAGTCTGACTCACTGAAGCACAGCTCATTTTATGGTTGTCTAATTCAAACCGTTGCATGTAATTGAAGATTTGTTCTACTGAACAGAAGATTTGTTCTACTGAACGATGTTATCAAGAAAACACAGCACTTATGGTCCACTTGTCTGTGTCTCAGGTGTGGTAATGTGGCGGCGATCTTGGAGCTAGACGAGCACCTGCAGAAAGAGTTCATCATATTCGAAGCTGCTCCACAAGAAACGAGAGGCATTCCCTCCAAAAAGCCAGTCGCTGACTACTTCCTGTGAGCGAGTCCGGATGCAGCGCGCTCCGCAGGAAGTGCCGCCCTGTGTGTGTTTCTGTTCCCCTAACCCTGACCAACTGTCTTAATTGTGCTTTTTTTTTTTACTTTCTCTGTAATATTCCATTTTTTTATTTCTATTTTCCATGGACGTTCACATTCTCTCTGCCGTCCAGACACACACACAGTGGCGTGGAGTCGTCCTCCTCGGCTGTGCCGGCTCTGGCTCTGACTCGCGGTGCGCTGTAGATGTAGACGTGTATAATGTACGTGAACGGCAGCAGGGCTTTCACGGTATATTTCTGCTGTTCCTCAGAGAGATGCGTTTTAAGCGGCAGGTTGTTGGACCTCTTGCTTGGCGTTCTCTTCTGGTGTGAATGGTAGATGCGTGAGAGAATGGCTTATAGCTTGGGGTCATCAGTTTCCTCCGGAGTGATGGTTGCAGGGCTGTGCGCACGAGGACACTGCAGAACACACACCCTGCTCCCTCTGCGGGACTCATTCTTGATTTTTATTTTTAATTTGTGAAAATAAAATGTACTTTTGTATGAATTTAAGATGTGAGTTTCTGTGTTAAATCCACTGAATAGTTTTCTAACTGAATCCTGGAGTAATGTGATGTGTGTAGAAGTTAATATTTAAGAACACTGAGACAACTTCAGCAAGTGTCCCGTTTTCAGTCACCTTTAATAATATCATTCTTCCACATCTTAAAGAAGCATTGCCATATAGATGCGAATTCAGTTTATAGATTTATCTAAATATATGCAAGGCTACATTTCATGCATTTGGGCAAATGTAAACTGCCACTCGTTCATATGTTCAAATAAAAAAAGAGTGACCTTGTAAATATCTAATCTTTAACACACATGATTTAAAATATGTATATTGTATATTTAAGAAATGAATGCTTTTACTCTGCAAGGATGCTTTAAGTTGATCTAAGGGGACAGATTATTTATATCTCAGTTAATGCAGGTTTTTTATTTGTACTTTCTATTGATCAAAATGCACCATTTAATGTAAAAAAGCATCTTGGTTTGCACAGAAACAAGCAGCACATCACTGAGAATGAGAAATGCTTCTTTAGCAACAACAACAACAAAAGCAGCACAGAACTACACGGAAGCGATGAGAAGGTTCAGGGAACACTCCACCCCCAAATATTCCTTTCCTCGCCTTCAGAGCAGATCAGCGCTGTCTTCCGGTGCAGGCTCCTGTACTTCCGCTCCAGGCCGGCGGGCGGCGGAAGAGCGCTGTTCTTCCGGTGCGGGTTTGGCGCGCCTCTGTCGCTTCCGCTCTCTCTCCGGAAGGAGCCGAACTCGTTTTGACGCACGCCGTCAGTTGTGCTCACAAAATCGCAAATCTGGATCTAAAATCTGCACAAAGGGATTTCACAATCGAGAGATCTTCCGTTTCCAGCAGAGAACAGGTAGGTCCCGGATGTGTCGCGCGCGGTAGTCGGTTTAACGGCAGGTTTGGTCCGTTAGGCCTGAAGCCATCACCGTTATTCATCACGCCACACGCGGCGTACTGGTCAGTTATTTCCATTACTGCCCCGTTCAGGAGCGTTCAGAGTGAGTGACTGGATAGAGCTTTCAGGAATGAACAGTTACAGGTTTTATTACGACTCCCGAGTAATTCTCCGTTTAACTAATGCCATTAATCGCTGGTGTGCTTACAGCCGTTTGTGCCGCTTATTCTCGTGACATCGCTTGAGACAGGGTCTCTCTCTGTGTTCTTCTGGTTTCAGAGCTAGCAGGCGTCTGTGATGTCGAGGTTTTTCGCCACCGGATCCGACAGCGAGTCGGAGGAATCTTCTTCCGCCGACGAGATCACCCCCAAAGCGACCGGGACTACTTTCAATAAGCAGCAGTGAGTCTGTGTTTATGTCAGTGTGCATTCTGTAATATTGGCTTGGCAGGGAAAACCAACAAACAAGCTAGCAAGTTAGACTTCCTACTCTCTTCTGACTGCCAGCTTTCTGTGTTTTGTATTGTGGGAAGTTGATTTGATTTGCCAATACAGATGATTCAAATGGTTAAAATATGACTGATTATTCGACTGGTGGTTTTTAAAATAAACATAAACAAAAACTTTAGCCATAATGGAAAATAGTAATGAACTTTAGAAAATAACATACATGGCTTAAGCATAAAAATGTTTTAAAATTGTCAAAATGAATTGGGGCTAAATTATGTTGAAAGGCCGGCTCATCACTCCTGGCACGCTTAGTTTACTCCGCCGTTCAGAAGTTTGGGATCAGTTAGGTTTTTATATGTTTTTAAGAAGTTTCTTATGCTCATCAGGGCTGTATCTGTTTGATCAAAAATGCAGAAAAAATAATAATTTTGTGAAATATTACAATTTAAAGCGGTTTTGGAATCAGTGTAGGAAACGGTTGTGCTGCTTAATATTTTTGGGGGCCTGTGATATTTTTTTCAGAATTCCTCCCTAAATAAAAAGTTAAAAAGAACTGTTTATTCAAAATAAAAATTGTTACAATATATACTACTATTCAAAAGTTTGGGGTCAGTACATTTTGTTTCTCTTTTTTTTTTTTACGAAATTAATAAATGTATTCAGAATTTTTTTTAAATTGATACAAAGTAATAGTAAAGACTTGTATTGTTAGAAAATATTTCTATTTTGAATAAATGCTGTTCTTGCACTGTGTACTCACCCGTGTAGTGCATGCATTAGGGCTGGGCAATATGACGATATTATCATATATCGCCGATGTCTCGTAAGTATCGTGATGTCAACGGTCAGGTAACAGATGATTATCAGGGAAAAAATGACAAATATAAACCTAGTATGTTGCAAAAAATATTTTACATAGCCCCATAGTAACCATACAGGAATGAAACAATTTAGTCGGAGGGTTGGGAATCGAATTACTACTTATAAAATTTAATTTCTATTCTGCGTCTAGATTCCTGTATGCGCATTTATTGGGATTTCAAAAGATTCAACTGCAAGAAGACAAAATAGAGCTCACTCCTGCACTTGCGATGTTTTCGTGCTGCTCTCTCTCTCTCACACACACACACTCTCTCACACACACTCTCACACACACACACTCTCACACACA